TTGATTGAGTTTCATCGAATATATTCAATCATTCAAGGTAGGCAGGGTCGGTGATGAGGAATTATTTGGGAAGCTTCAAGTCAACGTCTCCCCGAGCCAAACTGGGGAGACTCCCCTGAGGAGCAGAGTCACTGCTGGTCCCTCAGGTTAGATTTTTCCCCCACCCTGCCACACCCTTTTTGTTTGCTGCCTAATGTCCCCCTGGCGCTGGACTAGCGGGTGGCTGACTCGGCATGGCGCCTGTGGCGTCTTCAGTTACCTGCCGGCTTGGGGGCCATTCCATGATCTTTGTTTCTCGCGTTGAAGGGGCTACGCTGTTGAGCTGGGCGTCCTGGACTGGCTGACCGCCTTGACTGTGACTCGTGCTGTCTGGCGCTGCCGTCCAGTCTACACTTCCTTCGGCTGACCGCCGCCCAGCCTACATACCCAGAATGTACCAGGTATTGGGGATGGCTGGCTTCAGTTTGAATTTAATCATTTTTCCCAGAGCTCTGCCTAGAGCTGTCATCCGTAGTGGCCGTAGGACCGCCCCTGCGGTATCCTCTCGGTACAGGGAGAGTGTCAGATGTCAGATGACGCATGCGACGTGGGTCGCCTTTCCAACCAAAGCAGTCAGGTACAGACTCGTACAGACAGTACAGACCTAATCGATTCGGAGAAAAGGTAGCAGCAGCTGATGTCAGTTGATTGAGTTTCATCGAATATACATACATACATACATACATACGTAGGTACATAGGTACATAGGTACATAGGTATGTATGCATGTTTTTTCCTAAAGTGGTTTGCTCGGGTCAAAGCTGCCCCCTCGGATTCATGTATGTATGTTTATGCATCTAAGCATGCGTTTTCGTACATATTTAGTGCCGCTCCAGTTTCCGCCTTTTCTTGTTTCATTGGTTCGTGAAGTTGGAAGTGAGATGCGCACGCCCAGTGATGGCATTCGTGCCAAATAGCGCAGATCGAAACAGCTCGGCGTCCAAGCGGTGTTCTATTCTAAAACTAGGTGAAGCAACTCCAGACTTTTCTTCCAAACATCAACCTTCGCTGCTAGCTTGCGCCAAGATGAGCTCAGTCGGAAGAGACGAAGAAAACGGCAGGACATGTTATTCACGCCGGAAAATGTCAGCAAACGGTTTCGTCCAAGATCCAACACCCTCTTTGACATGAGCCGGGGGCTGGCCATGCGTCTCCTCACCTTGCTGGCTCTGTGTGGCCCCTCAGAATTGGTGGGGGCTCCCGCCCCCCCCGGGCGATTCCCAAGGAAAAATAAATGTAGGCGCGCACATGTTTTGATGTCCTGGTTTTGTAGCGCCGAGTGGCACTGTGACAAGTTTGGCCCATCCGTGCCTCTGCCTCCCAGGCTGGGCTTGGCTGAAGGTGGAAAAGGGCCAAGGGGGTCGGCGGAAGCAGGTGAAGAATCCAGGGCACCGTGACAGGTAGAAGTTTTCTTGGGCAATCAAGCCACATGGTAGGAGAAGACTTGGCAGCCGGTGTTCTGGGTACGAGCTTGTGTTGAAAGTGGCAGCCGCTGTTCTGGATGGTGCGTGGGTATGCCAGTTCAAGACACCCACGCCGCAAGTGCATGTGATGTTTCCCTTTTCTTTCCACCGCACTGTGTCAGCTGTGCACGGCTTTGGGATCTTTGCCATGTGTTTTGGGGGAGCACTGAAACGTCTGACGGCAGAAGAAGTCCGGGCTTGAGGCTCCAGAAACGAAATTGGTTGACCTGGTTTACGAAAGCCAGCCTTCGTAGAAGGCGCCAGCTGAGTTGTGCTTGGCGAACGAAGTGAGTAGTTAGGGGGTCTGGGGGGTGGCCCGCAAAAGGTACACGTAAACTCGGCACATGCTGGGGGAGGAGGGTGCACGGATGGAAGGTTTTTTGAGGTTGTGTTGGGGGTGATTTGTGAGGGGTGGTGACGCAAGAAATGCAATTTGCATCATTTGCATCATCTGAATGGTAAGGTGTAGTTGGCATCTTGCCGGGTATAGATACCCAGGGTAGCTATAGTGCAGTCACCAGGTATAGTACTTCAAGTTCCCTTTCCATCAACCGCTCGATAACCTTTACACACGCACAGCAACCCGCAGCTTTGAAGTCTCATGCGCGCGATGCCTGGGAACAGAATTGTAGCTACCCTGGGTCCGCATACATGCTATGTTGCTATACCTCTTACACACCTATATAAGTTCAAAGCACGAATGAGACTTCAAAGCTGTGGGTTGCTGTGCGTGTGTAAAGGTTATCGAGCGGTTGACGGAAAAGGAACTTAAAGTACTATACCTGGCAACTGAATTGTAGCTACCCTGGGTATCTTTACCTGGCAAGGCGCCAGCTGAGTAAGAAGGAGGGTTCGGGGGGGCCTGAGAAAGCACACTCGAAAGTAGGTGGTGTGTAGGGGTGCACGGAAGCAAGGTTTTGGAGGTGCTTTTTTGTGATTTGAAGAAATGCAGCTGTCTTCGGTTGCTTGCAGTGCTATGCTTGGCAACTGAATTGTAGCTACCCTGGGTATACCTGGCAACTGCCTTGTAGCTGCCTGGGTCCGCGCGCGCGCGCCTAAATCACGGGCAGCCGGGAGCCAGCAAGGGGCGCGCGCGGACCCAGGGTAGGGAAATTAAAGTGGGATACCTGGCAACAGAATTGTAGCTACCCTGGGTCCGTATAAATGGTGACTGAATCCCTGGGTACCTATACCTGCGCCAGCTTAGTAAGAAGGGGGTTTCGGGGGGGGTGGCCTCAGAAAGCACACTCGAAAGTAAAAACGCTGGCTTTCGTTTTGCAGCTTCTCAGGTTTTGTGTTGTAAAGTTCTTAGCAAAACGAGGGTTGTTCGGGAGTCAGCCCCTGAAATCATTGGTGGGCCACGAATTCTAGGGTATGCCCGCTCCACCTGCCCGCTCACGCCTCAGGGTGGGCCTTTGCACCGCTGAAACCGCCCAGCACGACTGGCCGCCCTGGCCGCTCTGCTCACAGCACCGGCGGGGTTCAGGCCGGCTGCTGCGTCTGTACTTCGTGGGACGTGCTGCCTCTGTTGGGGGAACAGGTCTAGCTAATTTCCACACGTGCAAGTGAGTCGGCCAACAGCTAATATCTAGATATAGCGAATCTGCTCCGACTGCCTCGCTGACCTCCAGAATTCAAGCCTCGTTAAACCCCTCCTCCCGTTGCTCGTGCTTTGCTGCCGCACTGGCGCCGCCCCGCGGAGCAGGTGCAGGAGCCGAGGCGCTAAACCGACCGGCCGAGCGGGGGCGAGCGGTGGGTAGAGCAGAGCAGCGGGTCATGTAAAACCCCAGGCCTCTGAAGAGGTTGGACAATCCATGTTTGAATTCTTCATCAATCAGGTTTGATCCATCGGGTAGGCTCTACATCGGACTTCTGTGTATTCCTGAACGTGACCTGCCACACCTTTGACAAGCCAATTCAGACCTTTGACAAGAAGGAGAGTCGAGACTTAGGAAAGAGAAGGAAGAAGGTTTGCATCCTCTTCGTGCTTGGATGCAGGTTCCTGTGGAAAGCTGGATGCCTGGACCCCTTCGTTCGCTTAACAACCATCGGTGCATCCAAAATGACACATCAGGCACAAGTGCTCCCCTCAATGTTCATTGGGGGCAACAGAAAACGCCAACGGAAGTAGCAACTTCTTCGATGGCCTGACCGATGATAGTCGTCAGTAGGGACGGCATCCTGGTGTTCGACTCTTACAGTACCCATTTTGAATAATTTTGATCATTTGGGGCCTGCAGACTACAACAGTGCCCTTGTCGCCAGCATAGACCATATTCAGGCCCTAAAGCCGACGAGTGAGGAGGGGGAAAGAGCAAGGAAGCGGGAAGTTGTTGCTGTGCTGGTGGATCGTCGTGATGTGTGTGGTGGGCTTTGCTGACCCATCTTGGAGCAGTGTGGGTCCGGTTGTGGTTGTGGTTGTGGTCTATGTTGACAGATCGTGGGGCCAGGTTACAGGTGGTCTTGGGGACATTTTTGGAGCGCTGGCCCAGCTATGTGGGCCCATCTTCGGGCTATGTTACCCCAGGTTGATGCGATCTTGGGGCTATGTTGGCCCAGCTGGGGGCTATGTTGGGGCTATTGGAGTAAGAACCCCAACAGCTCTCGCGATCTGGGGAATGACCGTGTAGACTGTTGATGAGTGGGGTTTCTTCATTTTGGACTCCAAAACCTCTCTCCCACCACCCTCACAGCCCGTCCTGAAGGAAGTCCCCTTCATTTAGGACAGGGAAAACGCGTCACTGCTGACACTCATGGTCAAACAGCGCAAATGGTACACAATGAGAATGCAACGAAGCGACCACGAACACACAATCAACACGGGATTGATTTATTCATCAACAGTTTGCATAGTGGTTCTTGATCAAGGCGCTGCTTTTTCTTTTCTGCTTTTTCTGCTGCACCGGTCGGACAGGGTCACCGAGCCGGGCGATGGCCGCCGGCGCATGGCAGCGACCGCGGTGGTGGCCGGACGCTGAGTGTGGGATGAACAGGGTGGAAGCAGGAGGACGTAGAAGAAAGGCGGCCAAGCCATGCCAAGTCCATGTCCAGCATATGGAGTGGAGGGGACGGTCAGATATTTGGACGGTTCGGATTTCCTTTCTCACAGAGCGAGGGGATGTTTCACGAGCCCAGTTGTCTAGGCGTTGAGGGAAGCCTCAGACCCAGTTAACTGGGCGGGGTTTGTCAATCCAGGGTTTGGCACTATACCAAGCACATCATCTTTGGATCTCCGCTCGAAGCGCGAGGCCAGCATAGGAATCATAGGAGATAGGCTGAGATCGGAGTTCCACGTTCCGTTCCGCCCAGGGCCCCGGGACTGTGCCCAGACGGTGGTCTGGCTCCAACTCGTTCGCCTCGGGTTTCGGAGCGGACATCGGTCGGCCAAACCGGATTTGTTCCCGTCGTTTTGTCGTGGAACGCGGGACTGGCCGGACTGGCCTGACCGGCGGTTTTTTTGGCAGGTGCAGTATGGTGCGGGGCACTTCCGGTGGATCACCGGCGGTTTCTTTGGCTTCAGCACGAAGTTGCTTTTTTCGGATGTTTTGAGACGTCGAGTAAGATCTCCGACCCAAAAGGCCCAAAGATGGCCTCCATGCGGAGGGGCGTCGCCGAGACGAAGGATGAAGAAGAGGCCTTGCTGGAGCAGGAGGAGCTGGTGAGTGGGGCTGGTGGTTGCACCAAGCGGTGTGGGGCTTGCTGCTGCTGCACCGTGTTGCTCCTGACGATTGCAGTAATTTTTTACCTGAAGTGGCAACTTGGCTCTTGGGCCTAGCCAGACCTGGCCTTCTTCATTTGGTTTGTTAGTTTCTTGCTTTCCTTACGTCAACCAACCACATCAACCAAAGATTCTGCTTCATTGTCTCTCTTCAACCCTTCGCGAGAGCTTTCTTCTGAATGGATCAGCCTTGCCGACATGCAAGTCCAGGCAACTCCACAGTTGTGAAGCAGATCAACATTGCTGACCCTTAATTGCTGACCTGCAGCAGTCCGGCATGACATAGACATAAACCCATTCCAGCCAAAACCTTTGTAGCATTGCGACTGCTGGTGCACAAGGATTATCACACCTTCTTGCGCAGTAGCTACGGTGGTGGAATTCAGTCTCGATCTGGAAGCAACGTGTTCAGATGTTCTTTTAAATGCTGTCCGTTGCTGACAAGTGGTTGTTGACGTAGGGTTTGGAAGTGGCACGAAGGGCTCCGATTTCAACAACTACACTTGTTCAAGCATCCCCCAAACAACCGTGCGAATTATTAGGTGCGCGACCCGCTCTGCCGCCATCCAGAGCAGCCCCACCCCTTGGTGCCCAGGCAGCGGATTTGCATTGGTCCCGCCTTTCCGCACGACGATGTGGACGCCCACCGCCCGGCGGCCTTCGTCGCCGCCGAGGCCCTGCGGCGGGCGGCGGCGGAACGGGCGGGCGCGGAGCTGCTGACGGAGGAGGATTTGCCCAATGCGTTTGGACTGCTGACGAACGCGGCCACAGGTGCGGTAGGGACATGATGGGGAGGCCTGGAGTCGTTGAGCAAAGAGGGCACTTGAGGAGGAGAGGGGGAGTGAGGACATGGAACTTTGTGAGGAGTCGAAGGCCCATCTTCCCAGCATGCCCGCTTCATGGCATGCTGGGTCGCCCCTTCACGTGTAGTGTAGCCACTCGGATGTTGACCCCATGGGAGCTGTTGCGGCTCCAGGTGCTGTATACTATGAGGAGAGGGTTTGGATTTTTCGATCGCTGCGGCGCAGGGTGGGATTTGGCCGTATTTTTTGATGCTCTTTCCACCACGTAGCAGGTCATTCTCATGCATGTTGATCAATAAGACTCCCCCAATTGGATGGTAAAACCTCTTGACTGTTGGGTGGTTTTGTTTGTCAGAGTCAAAGGGTCAACGCCGGCGAAGGAAATTGTGGGAGTCAGTCGAGATCTTCCGACATTTGCCTGTTCTTTCAAGAGCATGCGCAAAATGGTTGACATGGTGTTGTAGCCGAAATTCTTGGTGGCGGTTTTTTTAAGGCGACTAGTGTCCCGTTATTTGTTGCAAGGCGTCGCACCCATTCGCACGTCAGTGACATCTTTGCCATGTTCGGCCGTTCTTCGTCCGTTCACACCGTGGACCGCGAGCGAGTTGGCATGCCTGGGACCGAAACTGGTGAGGACATGAACTTCGTTCAAGGTTTTGAAAAGCCGGGCTGCCTGAGCTTGGTGGTTGAGATGTTCCACCGGTTGCTGAAGTTGCTGGGCTGGAGGGTGCCGCCCTCGAGAAGGTGGAAGCCACCGGTGGAAGGAGAGGGGTTGGGGAAGTGGAAAGAAACACCTGGGAGAAAAAGCATGTGCTTCTTGGGGGATGCGAAAGGTAGTGCTGTATATTGTGCATATTCAGGTACGTTTCTTGAAGGAACGACACGAGAGGAGCAGCTTAGAAGAGTGACATTTGAGGCGTTCTTAGGGCACTTGGCCAGACATTTTTACACACATGTGACAGAGCGCCACTTGTTCTGCATTGCGCAGCACCAGTCAGCTGGTAGAAGAATGACAGATGAATCCACATTAGATACATAGCTTGGAATGTACCAACCCCAGGAAGATAAAGATGTGTACCAAGGTGCCAGCTGTAACGTATGAAGATTGGAAGGGCCAGGGCCAGGACTGAAAGTAGTGGAGCGCTGCAGATCCGTGAGGCAGCAGCACAAGTAGTAAAGACCCCAAATTTAGCAATCAGAAAGTCGGAAGGTGCAACGGTGCAACCATCAAATCTCAGTTCTACAAGGCAGGTTACGACTTCTTGTGCCTGACGAGGTTCGCACAAACACGAACATGTAAAAGGCAGGAAGGCCTTGTAGCAGGGGCGGCTCAGGCTCCGCGTTTGTGCACATATTGGTGCCCTCGTCTGTACATGTGGTCCGTTTGCTTGGCTGTGCACGCGTGCGTTAACAAGAAGATTATGATAATTCTATCTTGCACCACCACCTACTACTACTGCTGCTAGTACTAGTACTAGTACTACTACTACTACTACTACCACCACCACTACTACTATGACAACTACTGTAACTACTACAACGACGACTACTACTGCTACTGCTACTTAGTACTAGTAGTACTACGACGACGACGACAACAACGACGACGACGACGACTACTACTACTACTGCTACTTCTGCGACTACGACTCCCACTCCCACTCCTGCCGCTGCTGCTGCCGCTAGGGCTACGACGATGACAACTATGGTAACAGCTTACACTGCCACTAACATTCTACGGGGAGAGAGCCGAAGCGCACAGTTCTTTCCTTCTTTCCTTATTTGCTGTATTTCCCCCCCCACTCAATAGTTCACAGCAGGCCAGACCTGTAATCCATTGCAATTCTCATTTCACAGAGGATTTCGTGCACGAAGGTAAGAGAAAGACCGGTCAGTTCAGGTGATGGCGTGCTTTGGCGGTGCACAGACACAAGCTGTGATTTGTGGCCATTGGCATATGCTATTAGCCCCACCGCGCTTCCCCCGCTCCCCCCATCCGCAGCATACCTCAATGGGAATCCTCACGTCACGGAGAAGAGCGTGTTCGCATGAGGTATGGGAGTGTGTGCGCAGATGAGTTCTCATGATGGAAGACTGCTTTGAAAGGCAATGAACGGGATTCGTGTGTATAGGTGAGGGTGAGGCGCCTTCCCATTCATTGATATGTGGACACAGGTCTTTTTGCAACAAGTTCGTGAGAAACAATGAAATGAACACGTTGTGATTCCTACGAGTCGAGCTGCCTGCTACAACTGGGGAAGGTCAAAAATCAGAGCAGGCCCACCAGAGAACCAAGAAGAGCAGATTCCTTTGACCCAGGAGAGACCATGGACATCGTCAGCTTTCAAGACTATGCCAGGACTCACTTTGGCCGGGCCTTGCCAGGGGAGTTCCTGGAGGACGCGGTGGATTGGCCGGGCGTTTTTTTGCACAAGATTTGGAGCGAAGAAACCAATGACCCCAGAAGTTTGAGACAAATATAAAGGAACGCCTATGCGAAGCCGGGTGATTTATTGCATCTTTTCCCATTGCCAAAGCATCCCAAGAAGTCCACCCAAAAACGAGGGGCCAGTTAGTTGGCTCCTCGGAAGAATTGCCATGAAAGCCAGTGGAGGACTACTACACTGGTGGGCGCGTGCCAAGTTGGGAGGACAATGAGGGCCACCGTTGGGGCATCATGAAGCTCACGGCTGTGGTCAAGGTCTGGGCTGAAGGAGGGAACAAGGTGGTTTCTTATGAATGAGATTGCACCAAAGACAAAGCGGAAGAAAGCTAGGTGAACTTGTAGTCTAGTTCAGCAATTTTTGAAAAAAACAAACCGCTTTCCTGTTAATTTGCGATTGTCAGGGACTCCGCACGGTTTGAGATGGACGTTTATTTATTTATTTATTTATTATATGCTTTATTTATTGTTATTGTATTTATATATTTGTTTATTTACTTATTTACCCTCCTCTTCGGCGGCTGAACCCAAAACCTCGCTCGGACAGCTCAGGGGCTTGCAAGTTCAAGCCAAGCCTGCCCTTTGGCGGCTGGCAAAAGACACATGGCATATCGTCTACCAGGACCCACTGTCAGGGTGGTTCATGGACACCCCGAATCACCAAAGTCAGGGGCTACAATGGACACCCCGTTTGTCTAAGGGGTCCTGTTGCTTCCAAAACCGGTGCAGCTAGTCAGTCTCTTCTTCTAATCCCTGCATGTCACATGCCTATTCTAGGTGTTGAGATTCTCCAGTTTTGACCATGAACGGACCCACATCCCAACGTGACGGGGCGTCTGTCTCGTCGAATCACCCACGTAGGCGGCGCGTGCCACGGGTGTGGATCCCATCACCGTGGTCCATCCGTTGGAGCCCCGCGTGGCCTTCGACCACCGGGCCTTGGTGAACATGGCCTCCGATGGCTTCAGGTACTTTGGACCCATGGAGGCTACTTCAAGGGTGGGGGCGGGGGGGGTGGTCTTGTGGTGTTTGTATGTTTGGTGACTTCTAGGTCCAGGTCCTAGGTTGGTGACGTCCTGTTTGTTTGTCTCTGTTGGTTTGTCGGTCTGTCCGCTTCTTCTTGAACACAAGAGCCCATGGCAGCCATCAGCGAAATCGATGGGGCAAGTTCCCGGGTCAAACATGTTCCCCAACTCTCGGTGGGAAAGATGGGAAAGACAGGTGGTTCAGCAGGCGAATGGCTTGGGAAGATCTGGATGTTTGCGATTCTGTGGAGTCATACCGCTCGAGTCAAGGATAGGAAAGGAGTCTGCATGGCAAGGAAAGGCCCCCATGGGGTCGGTCGTGGGGTCGGTCGGTCTCCGTCTCCCCTCCAAGGGCTGGGTCGGGACTCAGCAGCCGCCTGGGGAGCATCACTTCCAGCAGTGCCCGTGTCCCCAAAGAGTGCTTCAGGTTCCAACAGCCTCAGCCGCGACTCGGGAAAAACGACGCCCCACTCCGTGGCCGATGTGGCATGTCACCTGAGTCACCTGTTGTCCATGCCTTCTCCAGCACTGGCCTTGTATGGACACAAGCCTTTGGAACCACCAGGTGATCGTTCCTCCCCCACCCCCGCGCTCCGCGAGCACCTCGCGAGCACGCCCACGTGATCGTTCACGGGAGACGGGAGGTGAAGTATGCCTCCAACGGTTTCTTCGGCGCGTCGGTGGTGGAGCAGCGCCTTCTGGGCGTGGAGCGTGGCGATCTGCTGGGCATGCTGATGACAGAGTCGGTCTTCGGCGCACATCTGGTCTACGAGGCTGAGACAGAGCTCTTCCATGTGCCATGGAGACCCCATGGGGGAAACAGTGAGACGGCGGAAAGGGGCCCAAGCCAGGCGACCAGCTACCCGGGTGTTTCTTTCACCGAAGATGAGCAGACTAGCTGTGCACTCGATCGTGTCAGGCGTGCGGTTCAGGCGCCGAACTTCAGGGATGGAACAGAGTAGGGATGCCAGACATGGGCCAAAAAAACCAGGGATTACGGGGGTCCGGTGGTGGGGTCCCTCTCCTCACATGCAGAAGATCGAAGTCAGGAAATGGCTCCAGGTGAATGCGGGCTTCTTTGACCGGACCCGAAAACCCTCCCTGACCCCCCTCACCGTTGGCCGGACCCGGGAAAGGACCTGGGTTTTGGGTCCAAAGTCCTCGTGGAAAACGGGCCGAGGTGGACCTCACCGACCTGGAGAAGTACCCGCCGTTGCCCGGCTACGCCGCCCTGGGCGGGCGCGCCAGCTTCCGGCAAGACGCCGGGAGGCTGCGCACGGTGAGCCTGGACTACCAAGGACGGCGCTACACGAACTTTAGCGATCCACAGGTGGAAGCTGGGGTGAAGGATGTTTTCTGGACAGAAAAAGCCGGTGGGGTCAGGTGGGGAAGTAGCGCAGACGAACGCAGCAGCTGAACGGAATGGAGTTGGTCCAACGAAGACGGTGTGGTTCCGGGTCCCGATGGCCCGGTCCAGGTGGACGAGGCCTATGAGAAGAACAACACTCGGACCGGCTGGCGCATGGCCGAAGGGGCCTTCATTGCCTCGCTCCTCTCGATGACCAACTTGGTGATGCACGTGAAGGCGAACGTCAAGCCGAAATGTTCATTGCAAGGGCTGCTGGTCAGCAACCCTTTGAACCAGTCCATGTTTGTTTAACATCGTTTAACAAATGTTGATTCAATCCTTACTTTGTTTAATTTTCCAAACGCCAATTGCATACATGTGGCGTGGGTTGCGTTTGTGCGTGTTTGCCAACAAGTTGAGATGTTCTGCCAAGGTTTTTCGATCGTATAAATCTACTTTTGATTTTATTGGTGTATATATATATATATAAAAATTATATCTGTAAAAGATATCTATTTTTGTGCCGCCCTTCCCTCTGGCATAAGCTACCAACTTTGGACTTGCGTGAGTCCCTCATTCCCTCATTCCTGACTAAAGTCTGGCCAGTTGAAGGTGATGGGCCGTTTTCCCGAACTGGGTGGCTTGATTCACCGATGATTAACCCGAGGGGAACACCCCCGGGTCATGAAGAAGCAAGTGTGGCATACGGTGCCAAATCATAGCGTGAAGGTCTGACGTGGTGTTCTCTCTCTCTCTCTGTTTGTGCCGTTCCAGACTCCTCTCTTCGTCCCTCTCGTGAGGAGGTCTGGAGTATTGGAGTGGAGTAGCTAGTCTGATGAGCCACCATGCTCCATCCATGATGAGACTGACACAGGACCCCAGCACACCAACGCACGGAAATCGCTCACCTCACAGGACCTGCACGTGGAGATCTGTACGGCCTTCCAAGCGGTCACGGTGGATGCCTTCGCCGGGCAGACGTCCCACCCGGTGAGGCGCTTGTTGGACGCCTTCATTAGCCGCAGCGTGCAGGTGCGCCACCGCCGTCCTCGGTGCCCTCGACGTGGAACCCACCGACACGTCACGTCTCGGTCGGTGTAGACGTGAGGTGTAGACGGTCGGACCGGGGGAATGGGTCGAACGATGGAAGATTTTCAAGTGGCAAGTCAGCTAGTTCTCACCCTGCCCATAGTGGCACCAGCTCCCGCGGAAACCCGATCCAAAGTCAGTGATGGGGCGCTTGCGCAGGCGACCAACGACAACCTGCGGCTGCTCTACGACTTCCATGCGGCCGACTTCTCGCTGGCGCCGCTGCCGCACGACCAGCAGCTGAAGCTCATCGATGAGTTCATCAAGGCCAAGGGTTGGAGCAATCAACGTGCATGTGGGTGTATACGGACCTTCAAATGTCAAATATAGATAGAACAGCAAATCCCCACGTATGTATTGGAAACCGCGCCACTATCTATTTGGGGACCACAAAATTAAATAAAGTGTTCAAAGAGAGACCCCCAACTAATGGGTTTTTGGCCTTTGCTGTTTCATGCAGTCGACGACTTGCAGTGGCTACCCCCAGCTGGTCTACTTTCCCACACCCAAGGGAGGCGCGGCGCAACTGCGAGGTTCCTACACACCCATGCCAACTACTACGAGCTGCAGCCCACACATATGCACACATATGACAATCCTATATAATTATATATTATATATACATACGGTATGTACAATGTTATTTTGTATTTGGACTTTTTCTTGCGTGGATGAAGCGTATTACAGAAATGCATAGAAATAGCTCATCCAAGCGGCTAATTTTCATCCATTATTTTTTCTATCTTGTACTGCTTCAAGGTCAAATTGCAGATTGCAGAAATGAATTTTGTGATAGAGCTTATACTGTGTATATATATAAATTGTATAAATATGTAAGTATATCTTTTTGGGGGTGCTAGGGTGGGCCGCATGAATGAATAACTCAAGAGTTTTTGCCATCTCTAAGTACAGCTCGCAACATGCCTTCCTCAGGCGGAAGGGAAAATCGATTGAAATCCCTCAAAACGGGCGAAGTGTTTCAGACTGGTTGCATTTTGCTTGAAGCCCTGGCTGAAGCTAGAGAACTACACGACTGAATCCTGTTCCAACTTGGAGACCCATGGGCGTCATATGTAGATACTGTGGCTTTCAACCACAGACCTCCCAAACCCGTTTGATTGCTTTCTCTTGACTCTTCACCATCCAGTCGAAGCCCTTGAACTTGGCTGCGTTGGACATGGAACACTATGGGCAGCTGCGGTATATGGACCCCAGCTGGTCCACAGAGGAGGCGGTGCAGAACGCCAGCAGCTGGGGCTGGCGCTGGCATTATCGAGCTTTGACCGTGCAAAGGCTGCTGGCCAGCTATGTGACGTGTTTTCTGGAGGCGGAGGGTGTGGACGACGAGGCCGGACGAGGGAAAGAGGATCGGATGCGCATGGATGGAATGCTCATCACCTGCGACAGCACCCGCTATTTTCGGTCTCGGTTCGTGGAGTCAAGCCTAAGTGCCTGATTAGAGGTCGGATTTTTGATCGGCGCAGCGTGAGTTGATGAGTCTGGTCGCTTCATGTAGAGTAGAGTCTTGATAAGAGGCTTCACAATCCATCTATGGCAGGGTTTTATGAACCAAGAAGTTTTGCACTGCGGGGTCTTTCGTGTTTTTTCCGGTTTTTCTCCTCTCCAGTGGTGCGTTTGACACAAAGGCTTAGCTGTTCTGTTTTGAGAAAAACCTGTTGCAGTGTATGGACTCTGGACGGATTTCAACCCTGTGAGGCCATCATGAGTGAGGCTGAGCTGAGGAATTGTGTGTGTGTCCGTGCTATTTTCTGTGGAAGAGATGGGACGAGCATTTTTTTGTTGTCTTGTGGTGCTTGTCGGGCAGGTGTGGGTGCGTTTCAGTGTGTTTCAGTGTCTTGAATGTTTTCTGGATACTCCCCTGCAGATGAACATGGAACCCCCTTACAGCACTTGGTTGTACAGTCATTAGAGAAAAAGGGTCTTCCACGGGTCAAGGAGGTCAGTTTCGCTGAACTCTTAAAAGTCTCTTCGCTCGCTCTTCTGTCGGCCCGGCTTCTGTTTTCCTACTCGCTGAATTCATTACAGTTATTGCATGCCAGTGAAGCCACTGGGCGACCATACGGCTTGAGCAAAGGGCACAACATATATACAGCTAGAAGGAACTTCAAGAGCGGGTCACCCGCCAGCACCTGTGACAGAACCCTGAAAGGTCGCGTTTTTGTTTTATTGTTTGCATTTGTTTGGTTCTTTCTCGCACTCATATGTCTGTTTTTTGTTGGGGGGGTTTGGGTTGGGTCTCAACTTCTGTGCTCGGCTGGTGCCCTTTGGCGCAGGTCCCGTACAGCCTAGTTATATAGTTCATTGTCTTCCCCGAACTGTTGCTCATTCATCCTTCTGCCGCTGGCATGGCTCCAGACGGAAACCAACGCTATACAACTAGACTTTCAGCTCTGTTGCACCAGCCTCAGCTCTTCTTTCCAATGGAGCGCGGTTCCTACAACGCATTTTTCGGTGTAGCGAGGGCGAATCGTCTAAGGACAACTACCTCAAAGATTGGTGGCAGTCCATGATCTTCCACCTGCCAGCCTTGAGAAGGGCCACTGAAGAGGACTCGGCCTGGGCCTCGGCGGAGCTGAACAAGCTGGATGTGGAGCAGCTGGTGCGGGTCTTGAGCACCTTGATGGTCTGGGCTCCCTGGCGTGATTGGATGGGCCAAGGTAAACAAATACTGGTTTTGCGTGAGCTAGGGGCTTGGAAGCATGCTACACCCGTGGATAACTTGTGGATAACCCAAAGCACTTGGTTGGTTGCTCATGCCCCGTGTGAGGTGCATTGACCTTCGCTTTGTCGCACGTTCAGAGAGACACCTCTCCCCTTTCCCCTGAATGCAGGTCTTGCATAAATAAAGCGTTCAGTGATGGCAATGTTGCCCAACCGCAACTGGTTGGTGGATTAGCTGATGGCCTCTGGTTGCGGGCCAGGGCTGTAGTTTCTCACTCCAAGTGGCGTGCCTTTGGCCTTTGGTGTAGAGGTCTTTGGAGAAGGACGCGCTTGCCAGGTGTTTGACGTGCTGCAACGGTGTAGAATTGCCAACTTAGAAGCCGCACCTGCAAGTCATAAGCGGCTTTCTCCAAGTGAGGCGATCTGAAATGACAGGAAATACCCCGCGCCCCAAGAGTTGGCTTGGATCAACCGGTAAGGCCGCCTTAGGCATCAGGTTGTTGAACGAGCAGAAGCTGCGGAACCTTACAGAACTTCAGATGCTTGCACGAGTGAAAGGAACATGCATTTCTTCCAATCTGGCGCCATGGGCCGTGTACGCCCTGCACCACCCGTTTTCACGCGCCCAGTGCCTCAACGGGTGCTCCCACCCGTTTCACGGAGCAAAGCCTCGCACTGTCTTCATGGCCTTCGGGTTCGGTCCATCGCCTGAATTGGTCCACTGAGGTCTCCTGGATCCATGAAGATGTGGGCCACTCCGCCGCCGCGTATGTCTGGAACCCGGTCTACACCCCCATGTGTGTGCCGGAGGATGGCGTCGGAGTACCTCTGAGATCCTGGCTCTTCAACGCCGTGGCCTACCGGAGCTTCGTCTTTCTGCATCGCTCCACGCTCTTGGACGAAGCGCCACCTGGCATTCTTAGAACGACCTGTTTTGATTGTTTGGGTGGCTCAGATGCTGTGTTGCTCGTGCACGGAGGGGGAGGAGGAGGAGGAACCTATATTTTCATAACACATGCACGCCGTCTCTGTTTGTCTGTCTGTGTCTGTGTCTGTCTGTCTGCCTGTCTCGCTTTCTCTCTTTGCCTCTATATATATTTACCAAAGGCACAGCCAAGCAGCACCAGCTAGAGTGCTGGGCCAAGTGACACAGGCGAAACCTCACTCCGAACACCTTGGCTTGGCCCACCCCCCAAATTCTTCAACGGCTTGTTCTGAGACGTTCACCTCTTGGGTCGCTTGGACAAACGGCCCACCCCTACTCTCGGGAGCGCCCGCGAGAGTTTGAGGCCGGAGTTCTGGTTTGGCAATGCCGAGTCCAAGAAGTGCTTCCAGACCTTCCAGGAGCAGCGAGTGTGTGGGGGGGGCTTGCCCCTCGAGGGCTCCATTTGGACTGGCCTCAGGTCTATTTGAGCAGTCTGGAAATTACGCTATATTACGCTCGTTCCATGAGGCAGCGAGAGAGGAAAGGCTGCACAGAAAGAAAGAGAAAGAGAGAGAGAGAGAGAGGGAGATCCAAGTGACGGGGAGGATTGGCTTTGGATTCCGGGTGCCCTGAAGCAAGCCCCGCGTAGACCGTCCCCCCAAAAAGTGGCCATCCCCAGCGGCGATCCAGGAGACCTTGAAATCCCTCGGTGACAGCGATGTGGCCTTTCGCGAATGCGACCAAGAAGGCTTCTACTCCTGCGTGGACCGTGTGGAGACGGCAGTGTCCTCTTAGACGGGCAGCGAAAAGTAGCCCGTAGATAGCCGTGGGTATTTGTACCCAGGTAGATGTTTGAAGAGGATTGGACCGCCAAACTCACGAGTTCTGGGTCCAATCCTCGGATCATCAGGACGCTGCGGGCGTTTCACCGGGCGTGTTTTCCGAAAAGGGGAGGCACCAATTTTTCAGAGGAAAAAATAGGCCATCAAAGTGCTGAAGATATCAGTGATCACAGGTGACCATAAGAACGCAATCCACTTCCATGGCTCGTGGAACCCGCACAGGCATCGTTGGCCCAAAATTGGCCAACGGTAGATCAGTTCGGTCCCAGAACAAGACACCTGGGGTGAAACATTCACTAGACTCACTAAGACCACCGTAGATAGCCTTTACTGTACTGGGTTGATCCATAGAAGGGGGACATCCCCGGGTCATGAACCACCAAGTTCGGTACCTGTCATCGACCCTTCTATTCTTCCGGTTCGTCGGGACCCTCACCGACCGGAACCGGGGCGAGGGTCGCCGCGACCCGGCCGAGGTCGCCGCCGCGTTGCTTCTGAAGGCCTGCGCGGCTTCGGGGCCGCCGCTGATGGCTTTCATTTTCTGGCTGTCCCAGCTAGATCATACATGAGAGCACTTGGGAGATAGGGAGATGGGAAACACAGAATCTCCCCACGGATGGATTTGCCGTCCAACATGCGCGAGTTGGTCATCTTGATGTGAGTGTGTATAAGAACCCGGAGGTTGGAACCCCTGGGCAAGGTTCGGACCCCCCTCCGGGCCTGGTTCGGACACTAGACCGAAACCGATTGGAGGGGGTCTTCCGATGTAAATGCACACCCACGTGTTGTTTGGTGAAGGACTTTCATCGCTGTTTGGACCCGGCTGCTTTCAGGGACGACCCAGCTGCCTCTTGGCGATCGGAGATGGCGGGGAGAGCGTGGGCGGATCCGATCCACGAAATATGGAAGTACCCTCCCTGGAATCCTCATCGAAGCGGAAAACTTTCCTTCTTTGTAGAGTGTAGAGAAACATGCTTGGCCTGATAGCCATGCCATCCACTTCCATGACGATTTTGGGGTGTGTCACGGAGTGTATATGGAAGTGGAACAAAGGCCCGCTCCCCCTGAATCCATGGCGCATGCGGGGTTCACGATGCGACCGACATGCGCATGCTTCAGGCCTCATCCACATGAGGAATGGTTGACCTTGGTGGCTGCAGTCTTTTGTGTTCCTTTCCTTTGCAACGTTTTCCTCCAGACCTCCAGATCATGTTCATCACTCGGAGTTTCTTGGTGTGGTTGTGATCAGAGCTACTGTTGAAGCCAAACGGCTGGGTGGCTGTTCATTTGGTCGGCTTACCCGGGCGTCCTGATGGGTTGCCCTCAGCTGGACCATCAGATAGACCATCAGAACGGGTGGAGGACAGCTCCTAATGTAGACTCTTGAGAAATATCGACTTCCATATGAAGAGGCGTCAGAATCCACGTCTCGGGGGGGCTTGATTCATGCGAAGAGATCCGGCTCAGTGAACCATGCGTGAAATTGGGAGTGCCCGCCCTCCACACGGAGAACGTTACGGTCCCTCGTGAGCACCGTGTCGGATCGGAAGCTCCAGGGAGAGAACAAAAGGGGGTGACGCCAACGAAGGCACAGGAAAGTCACGAAGAGACCATGACATGCTGACTGGCACATGACATGCCGCGCTTTTTGCGACGAGTTGTTTTGGGTGAGGTGCGTTGATGTCCAGCAAGCCTCCGAAGCCGGTGGTGGCCGGGAGCGTGGAAAACGGTGTTTTGGTGGGACCGGGCAGCATGATGTTACAGAGACATGGTGCCGTTGAGATTTTTTTTTGGGGGGAAGCACTGCTTTCGTTGAGTGTTTGGATATGTGGGGCGTTGATCATGCGGTGTTCTTGCGGTGCAAAGTATCGAAGAAGCCTAGCCGCATCCGAGCGGCTTATAAAGGAGGGGGATGGGCACTCGAAAGGCCCGACATCGAGGCACTAGCGAGGCTCAGGTGGAACGTGATTGGGGTCGTCTTACGTCTTGGACCAGGCTTTTGGAGACCTCTCGCCACCTCTTAGAGTGAGTGACGAGAGGTGGGAAAGAGTCCAGGAGTGTCAAGGTGTCAAGATGAGTCCTTGGATTTTGGAACCACGAGTGGGTTTTTGGAAGGAAGGTTTTTTTTCTCTCTCCTCCCCCAAGAATTCCATGGAAGTGGACCAACGAGCCACCACTCGGTTTGGCATCTGGATTCGGAAGAAGGTCATCCTTTCATTCCACTTCCATGATCATTCCAGGGAGTTTAAGTCCCACCAGTTGCTTGTGTGGGGGTGTGGGGCATTCCGAGGTGCTTCCAGAAGGAGAAAAGACGGGAGGACGCGACGACTCGGCTCGGCTCACGACGAAAGGCCCAAGATAAGAACTTTCAGCCGGTGGAGGCGCAGACAGCTGAAGCAAAGACCTGGGCAATGATTCAATGATCGTTGGTTTTAGCTGCGAGCGCAGGGGTCACGGTCTAGCAATGGTCTAGCAGAACTGTTGTGATTGTCCCCCAGGACAGTTGAAGAGGCTGCCTGCAATCACCGGCGCAGACAGAAACACAACACATGCACCTACACATTGAGGAAGATCATGGTATCTGAATGACGCGGGCGCGGTACTGTATGCATGTGTATGTATGACAGGACTCTCAGATTGACCGCTTGACCCTAGAAGTCCAAGGTCGACGATATTTTGACCGGCAGAAGTAAAGAAAAATCCTCGACTTGGGTCACCTAAAGACAATTCTTTTTATAGTCGACTTGACTCCCAGGGTTTATGTCTGCAGGTTTCCGACGTTCTCGACCGTCCCATGGGTGTGACTTCCAGACATCAGACCGAGGGTGGTTCTGGGGGCGGCTCATGAACCCTAGAGAGGTTAGAGAAGCGGTGTCCATGAACCACCACAACCCTGATTTGGGGCCTTGGGAGAAGGTTTTGTGCTGTTTCCTTGGTTGGGTCTTCGCCATGGCTCTCTTCAAGCCATGGAAGATCCACCCGTCTCGGGCCTCGTGGTGTCGTCGTGTCGATGAGGGCGTCCGTCCGCTCTCCGCTCGGTGGGGCTCCAAGTCTGCCAGGTGCAGAGTTGGGTTCAAGCCTCCAAAGGACAGCCAGACCTGGTGATTGGACTTCGAGGTGCGGCGTTTTCTTTTTTTCTCCCGGGTCCACCGCCTTCTCGCGCCGCCGCGGCGCAGCCCGGTGCGCCAGAGCGGAGGGTCGCGAGACCCATGACCTGGTGGCCTGCCTGAAGGGATCTGAGCTTCAGGATGTGAACATGTCGTGTCATGTGGCCGTTCATTGGCCCCCAACCGTTGAGGGTCACATCTCTTGGGAAGGGACGCTTGCGCCGGGATGAAATTCTGCCAGTGCCAGTGCCGGTGGAGATTGCTGATTCATTGCGGGTAAAGTGTCATGTCAAACTGGCACCTAGTTTATGGTGCCAAGGCCAACGCCGGGGAATTCGTCTCCAACCCCCAAGCGCCGTCTCTTGTTGCGCCCCTCTTGTTCCGTTGGCGTTGGTGACCGAGGGAGAAAGAAGCGTCGGAGCGGCTCCGTGAAGGCGACGGATCCCACGTGGGGACGGTCGGGGGACGGCCCTATACTCCTGCTTCCCTGCTCCGCGGCTAAGCTCACTCGCAAGGCGATCCCTACTACCTCCTGCCTGGCAAGGACCAACCGTGCACTGTGATGACTGATTATTGTTGTTCCCCTGATTCACCTGTCTGTGATATCTCTGTGGCCCTGGAGGGCTCAGCTTCCAGCAGTTCAAGAAACCTCTGGGCCTTTGATCGAGATCCGATAGATTTTACATGGGATCATTCAACCATCCCTTCTGTGTAAATATGTATCAAGACTCTCCCTACCGTAGGGCCTGGGCAAAGCGTCTGGATGCCCTCAAAGCTGCCCCTTAGCCAGAACTTCCGGAGCTCCTTACCCCAGCTGCAAATAAACCTGGACGTCATAATCCACCATTCATCCCTTTGAACCACCTGCAAGTCTAAATCCTGGTCGTTGGATCATTACTGGACGGCCTTGAAGCGACCCCCCGAGCGCCCAGGACGGCGGCGCGCTCCGGAACTTTGCGCTGCGCGCGGAGCGCCTTGGTGACCGGCGGGTGTGCACCGTCCGAACCGGAAAAGGGTTGGGCGTGGAGGGGTCTGGTGCCTTGGAAGACTTTCCTTTACAAACAGGAGGTTTTCCACTTCCATGTTAGTGAGGTCCAGGGGTAGGAAGAAGAGACACCATTTTTGGAGACGTCCTCAGTATTATTGTGTTGTTTTTTGTTTTCTCTCAGGGGTGCGTGAGGTATCGGTATCACAGATTCTTTGTGCTTTTGTTCATTATATATTTTTTTGAGGGGGTGGGTATGACGAGAAGTTTCCTTTTCCTCTTGAGGGGGGCTGTGGATGGGGATGGGACGTGGCGGGTAAAAATTGGGGCTCTTCCGATTGTATGATAAAGCAGGCAGAAGCCTGAGGAGTCCTAGAATGACTGTAAGATGATTTTGCACTTGAGTCGCCCACTGCTTGCTTTGCTTTTTCTACCAACGCAGACTCTCTCGACGGGCGCGCCCCTTGGACGCTGGCATAAGGTGTACCCACTTGGGGTGCTTGGCCAACTGGAATCGTGTGGTGAACAAGTTCGTGTGCGGGCCGCCAGTTTTTCCTTTGTTTAAAAAGGGGATGGGTTAGTGATTTGTAGAGCCAGGGTGCCACTGATTCTGATGGTGACTTCGCCCTGGTCACTGGTCACTGGTCCTATCTGACTCTCTGACGCCAGGTGGGTTAGGGCGCCCAAAGATCGTCGATGTTCAGGAGTAGGGCCGGGTCGAGGGAGTGGTTGAATATTAGGCTCTTGATGATTCCCCAATAGCCATGCTATGGGGTCTTGCAAAACTAATAGGCGGA